TATTTTTAAAGTTGAACAGAGAAGTGTTGGCTGATAGAGAGGGCAAGATCTGTAAAGAGGCCAGCTCATGGTAAGTATAAGCGAGTGTGTTTCAGCTCTGGAGCTGCAAAGAAATCCTAACTTACCAGGAAGCCAAGCTATACCTAGAGCCACAATAGAACAACGCTGGAGGGTAGAGCTGCAATAGGACAGCTCTGGAAGCTGGAGTCACAATAGGACGGCTCAGCCCTGGAGGGGAAGGTGTCCTGACTTGTCCAGAAGCCAGGCTACCTGAAGCTGGGGTGCGGTTGGGGGGAGATGGTCTCCCCGAAGGACATAGCAGTCCTGCTCCTCTGCTAGAGAGAGCCATTACAGCTGAGCTCTGCTCTGTTCCCCTAGGGGACTGTCCTAACAGAGCCATCCCTCAGCCCGTGATGTTACTTCTGCTACACTCTGCTTAAGGGGAAACCCTGCAGAAATGTAGCAATCTCCTCGGACTCCAGGGAAAAGTTGTTACTTTTTCTATTCAGTCTTGCTCAGCCCCCTTGAGGGAGCATCTCACCAAGGTTCTTCTATTCTGCACTGGGGAATGAAGATCTTCACTCAAGACTCTTGGGAGAAAGGGATTTGTTTGAGAAGGGGGAGTTCAGGAGAGTGGCTGCCTCTCCCAGGGTGGGAAAGTATAGCCAGCAACTAATAGGCAGAGGGGCTTATATAGGGCTTCTTGGGGGTAGAGTTTTCCCAGGGAGAAGTTTTTCGGCTCAGGGATTGTGTAGTTCAGTTGGTCCGGGCAGAGGTGGCTCTGATTTCAGGACCAAACTGTGTTTCTTTCACTGGTCTTTTTTAGTCTTTTGGATATAATTTTAGGGCTCTGATTCTAGGGACAAAGTGTGTTTCTTTGGCATTGGTTTTAGAGTCAGGGTGTCTTTCTTTGGTTCTGGGTTCAGGGATAAATTGTTTTACTGGCTTGGGCTTCAGATCCCAGGTGTGTTTCTTTCCTGGGTCTGGGTTCAGAGTCAGGGTGCTCAGGGATTGGTTGGTTTTTCTGCTCAGGGATTGGTTGGTTTTTCTGCTCGGGGATTGGTTAGTTTTTCTGCTCAGGGATTGGTTGGTTTTTCTGCTCGGGGATTGGTTAGTTTTTCTGCTCAGGGATTGGTTGGTTTTTCTGCTCGGGGATTGGTTAGTTTTTCTGCTCAGGGATTGGTTGGTTTTTCTGCTCGGGGATTGGTTAGTTTTGCGTTTCAGTTTATCAGGGGCAGAGATGGCTCTGATTTCAGGTCCAAATTGTGCCCCCCCCCCGGGGGGGGCTTTTTTTTTTTAGCTCTCTGGCTCTAATTTCAGGACTAAGGCATATTTCTTCCACTGGCTCTGGTTCTAGAGCCAAAGTGTGTTTCTTTGGCTCTGGTTTCAGAGTCAGGGTATGTTTCTTAGGGTCTGGGTTTAAGGCTAAAAGTTTTTCTTTTTGCTGTCTCGGGTTTCAGATCCAGGGTGTTTCTTTCACTGGCTCTGGGTTCAGAGCCAGAATGGGTTTCCTTGGCTTACCTTTTAGTCTACAGTGAGTCCAAAGATTCACTAGGAACACTGAACTTCATTGTCCCATCCACACAGCAGAGAGACGACGCCTGCCTTTGGAAGGATGGACAGGATTCATTATGGTCTCCTGAAATAAAAAAGAAAGGAGATCTCTAGGATCTTCTCCATACATTCTTCTGTTGTTTCCCCAGCTTTTAATCGACCATCCTGGGGTGTGTTCTGAGAATTACCAGCAGGGGGGGCTAGGTCTCCATTTTGCTCCTAAACTGTGGTTGGTGGGAAGGAACTGGTCACAACAGGTATGCTCCAGGCCAGGTGTGACTTGGCCCAGAAAAGAAACCAGGAGTTCCATGAAGTCTGAACTAACTGGGCCTGAGTGTTTATTTGCAAAGTCAATCTCCATTTCCCGCTCTGACTTCCTCTGGGTGTGTTTGCTTTTGGGAGTGTGTGTGTGTGTGTGTGTGTGTGTGTGTGTGTGTGTGTGTGTGTGTCCACATATGTAACCCTGTTTGTGTGCAGGGGAGTCAGCCCATGTCCTGGACTCTGGGCTGTGGCCAGGCAGGATGATCTCAGCTCTTGGAGAAGGGGGCTGCCAGTGCTGAGGCAGGGCCAGGGCCCCATCTGCTGGGATGCACATGGATACCATGGGGGGCATTCATCTGACTTGGGTGCAATCTGAGAGGCAGGCAAGGCTGACCAAACCCTTCCCAGCTGCTCTGCCTGAACCCGGCTTCATGGACACTGACTGAAGGGGATGGCCTGGGCTTCCTCCTTAAGATGGGGCACACACAGGAGCCTATAGAGCAAGGCCACTGAACAGTAACCATGGAGGGACAGCCCTGGAGAAAGACCAGGGGCAGGTGCTGGAGAGTCTCAGCCACAATGGCCTCCAGAGCCTGGAGGAGGTGATGTAACCAGAGGATGTGTCCAGGCAGGTGACAAGAGACAGCTACACCATGATTTCTGTCCTTGAGGGACTAGTGGGTCACATGGTGGTGTTGATAATTCAGGGTTTACAGTTTGTCTTTTTTTTTTTTTTTTTTTTAAACATAACCTGTTTCTGCAAGGAAGACCAGAAAGGTAAGCTCAGAGAAGCTAAGTAAGTAACCACAGGATGCACAGCCTGCAGGTTAAATCCTCAGGTCAAGTCTGAACTGGTTCCTTAGGTGGCCTCTGCCCCTCCTCCTGCCCCAAGTTCCTGAGGCAGAACCCTGGTGAAACAGAGGGCAGGTCTTGGTCTGATAACTCTGTAGCCTGTTTTGTTTTCAAACTCAGATTACCCAACCTGAATAACATCTAAGCCACTGCATATGCAGGAGGTGCGTGTGTGTGCAAGCAGACTGCTGTTGTGGTCCTGTGTGGGGAGTGTGCAAGCACATCTGGAAGGCCGGTGTTGGGAGAGTGTGTGCACACAGGTTGGGTACCAGAATGGAAACCAGGGTCTCTGCCCCTGCCCATACCCTAACCAAGGATGCTGGACATTTATCTGCACAGGGCATCTCCTCTTCGCAGGGAAGCCAGAAGGGCAGAGGGAAACTTCCAGGAGGGTTGCTTCACGCGTGAGAGGTGTGTGACGTGCAGACAAGGTTGAGAAAAGGTGAGTCTTAGCTCTGCCGTGTCCTTCCCCCGCCCCCCAGCTCTGTGCCCATAACAGCTGCTCAAGCCCCACCTTCTCTTCCTGGTTGATGGAGATATCACTTAGCACTCAGAGATGCTGCAAGGAACAAAACACAACAGCCTCAACGAAGCATGGCTCTCTCTGTTGACAGGTGCTAGGTGGTTGCCTCGTCTGCAGATGGCAGGTCTATAGTTACCTTCTCCAAACAGATCCTGGACAGCGCTGGGCACCACTGCAGACCACTTCCTGTTCTCCTGAGCCCTCCTCCTATCACATCATAGGTGCCAGATAAGCCACTGGGAATAGTGTCATTAGCTCTTCATGTCTAGGGTATGGTGGAGTAGATCTGAAGACCCTATACGCCACCACACATCCTCCCTGATGGACCATTTTCCGGAAAGATGGGCTTCCAAAGCCAGTGCCTGTAATGGCACTCTATGTGTGTGACCTTGGCGATTGTACACTTCTGTCATTCTGGTGCACTCTAAGCCTGTGAATTCTGGATTCCAAGCCTGTCCACTGCAGCTGTCTGCCCATGTGGTTGTGGAGAGGGTTGCAGCTGAAATGGTAGCCTTAATATGTTGCTCAGGCTAACCTCAAAACCCAGGGCTCAGCCTGGCAAGTAGCTGGGACTACAAGCCCATGCCACAGCCACAGTAAGAGAAGATTACAGCCCAAACTGGACGGAACCCTTGTGCCTGAGACAGGATGTAGAGATCTCAACATCTTTGCCTCCTGGTGTGACACTGTCTTTTTAAGCCTCAAAGTTGTATTTACATGACATGGCTTGTTGGAGACAGGGTTTTGCAAACAGAGCACTGTACGAGCTCCAGAAGGGGTAGATAGGCTTCCTGAGTAGAGCAGTGGGGAAATTCCTGTGACATCTCAGACAGCTGTGTGACTCTGGTATCAGGGCGGAGCCCTCTGGATGGAGGCAGCCAGTGTACTTGAGCCTATCCACTGAGCCAACATATATGTACATGTACACAGACACATATAACTAAATGATGATGATGATGGTGGTGTGTGTGTGTGTGTGTGTGTGTGTGTGTGCTCGAGCGCGCAGGTCTGAAGATGTCAAACTGCATTTATGGAGGTCAGAGAACAACTTTCAGAAGCCAGATTTGGAATTGAACGCAGGTCATCAGGCTTGCAACATACAACTTTATCTGCTAAGCCGTCTCACCACTCGCCTCCCTCCTCCCTACATTTAAAAAAAAAAAATCAATTTCTTTGTTTCTGTCTGTCTCCTCCCACTACCAGGATCATAGAATCAGGTGAGGGAAAACTCACCTCATCCTATTTCTCTGCCTCTTACCAGAATGGTCCTGGAACTACCGGCTGGGAGTCCCCCTCCCATCCCACTGTGGAGTCAACTTGGCCTTCAGTTTGGCCTTTACAGGCCAAATGCTTGCTTGGGTGTCCTCGGTGGGCTCAGGATGTGACAGCTGCATTCCCGGCCCCCACCCCCAGTCTGCTGGGTGACGAAACTGCTGCTGGGACAAAGGCAGCTCAGAGCCAGATCCAGATGCCCTCGGGGTATGGAGGCTCCAGCCAAGCCTGTCTGGGTGTATTTATAGACCAGTGCACACAAGCTGGGGGAGAGCACTGTGTGTTTCCTGGAAGCATGCTCACTCTCTCTGTTATGGAAGACTTTCTGGGGAGGGCATCCTGATACAAGGGAAGGGGCCTCACTGCCCTGGCGTCTGCTCTCCATGGAAGGCGAGCTCAGGCCTGACACCTTTCACTCCACTTCCACCCATTGTCCCCTGAGAACCTGTGGTGGCCTCCTGGTCTCAGGATGCTCTCTGCTAACTCCTTTTCCTGCCAGGCCTGCCCACATTCCTTCCAACCACAATGCTGGGCTCACCTCCTCCAAGTGGCTGTACCTCTCTGTTCTCTCCTGCCACACAGGGGATTTGTCCAGGCTTGTTCTTCTGTGAAACCTTCCTCCTTCCCTGAGAAGCACACCCAACTTGGTATGTCCCTCAAAATGTCTTTTCTCACTTCTGCACCATGGGCATGTGACCGGTTTCTTCTTCATACCTAAGACCCCATCTCTGTATCTCACTGTTATTCTTAATAACCTGTATCTCTTTCTCCAAACCATTCTCTTCAGGGCCAATAACTGGGCCTTCTGTGACTTTGTTTTCCTACCTGTGTGTGGCTCAATGGGGACACAGAGCTGATATGCATAGGAACAGGGGACAGGAATTCCATGATGTAGCTGCTGGACATTCTGTTGCTCTGATTGTGGGATTTGCTCTCTATGTGATCCTCAGTTTCTCAGCTCTCCAAATGTGAATTTCCTAATCAGCAAAGCGGGACATCAAAGTGGACCCTTACACTATTAGGGGAGGTTGTCAAGGGACTTCATGTCGTGGGTCTCACAAGGCGCCTGACACAGACACACACTGTCAGTGTGTCCTGTGGGGTCCTCTTTCAAAATAGCAGTAGACCCTTGCTTTCCAACTGCCAACAGCCCAACCCAAGCCACTGTCTTTCCCACTCCTGTCTCCAGGCTGCCTGGCTGATCTCTGTCTGCTGCTTTCACCCTTGTTCCACTTCATCTGTTTTCATCACAGCTGTCAGACATGATCCCTTAAAAATATGTCATGTGTTGTGACTCTTTCGTGCACCTCTTATAAACGGAGAGAAGAAGCCTATGTCTTCTCTATGGTCCTGTACGAGCTGGCCCTCAGTTCATGGCTCTGCTTCTCCTCTTCCCAGATTGCTCTCCCATCTCCAGCCACACTTCCCTGGCCTAACGCCTTTCCATGGAATTCTTCTCATGAGAACCCTTGTGCCTCCCCACTTGCTTAAGAGTTCATGAGAAAATGCTTCAATCAGATTGCCTCTGTAGGTGAGCTTGAAGGGTATTTTGTTGATTAATGATTGACATGAGAGGCCAAGGCCACTGTGGGTGGCACCGCCCCTAGGAAAATGGTTGAAGCAGTATGAGAAAGCAGGCTGAGCAAGCCATGGAGAACAGGCCAGGAGGCAGCATTCCTCCCTGGTTTCTGCTTCAGTTTCTGATTCTTTAATGGCTTCCTCAGTGATGGATTGTGTCCTGGGAAGTTTAAGATGAAATAAACCCATTCCTCCCCAGATTGTTTTTGGTCATGATCTTTATCGTAGCAAATAGGACGCAACCCAAGACAGGTGTTAATACACATTTTTATTTTGTACATTAACTTGTTCATTGTCTCCCCCAGTGGAACATGATTTGCCTATAGTGTTTGTGTTATGTTCCCAGCCTCTAATACTGGATATAAATAAATGCTCTGTAAAGCCGTATTAAAGAAAGAGATCTGATATTGGGAGTTTTACTGGAGTTCAGTTCCCCCTCTGGGCATGAGTGGGGAACCCCCAAGACCATGGAGATAGCAGCCTAGACTGTGGAGTAAACCTGGCACAGCAGTCTCCCAGAGTCTGGGCTTGGCCTGGTCCTGCCTCACTGGCCTTGGGCATCAGAACTGACTCAGAAGGCAGCACCAAGCCTGGATTCTGCCCCAGACTGGACTTTCCCTCCTCCCAGCTCAGCCCAGTCACCTCCAGTGGAGGGTTTGGCTGGGAACACTGAACTCATCCTTTTCTCTGGGGTGGATGGGTGCTCGGCCTCCACCCAGGAAGAGACAATGGGCATTAGTCAGCTTTGTAGCCTAGTGACAAATGTACCTGAGAAAACCAACTTAAGGTCTCGTGGTTTCAGAAGTTTTAGCATGGGATATGTGGATCTATCCCCTGGACCCCGGGGTGAGGTAGATGATGATGCTGGTGGGAGCCGGTGGGGAAGGAGGCTGCTCATCTCATGGCAGCCAGGAAGCAAAGAGAGAGGAGAGGAGTCAAAAGCACACGGGATACAACATACCACTTAAAGGTACACTGTCCACTATTATGCTTCTGTTAACTGGGCTCCTAACACTGTTACTGCCTCCTAAGCATTATTAGCTGGAGCACCGACCTTCCTACGTGACCTTTTGGGGGATACTTAAGATCTAAGCTGTATTTTCAGCAGGTGACAGTCCCCAAGCTAGAGCCCACAACACTGCCCATAGCTGATTTTGTCCAGTGTTATCGTGGTTCTCATAGGGGGAACGTTATACCACCACCCTGGGATTCAGTTTCCAAGACCAGCAGCATCCCTCTAAAGCGAGCCCATGTCCTTGCATTCTGGGATCAAGCCCAGGCTTGTCGCTCCAATTCTTGTCTAGAAATTCTTGGCTCTTGTAGGAGAACTGCCCGGAGGATGGGAGGCTTCTCAGGTTCTTATGGCTCAGTGCATTTCCCCTCTGCCCTGTCTCGGTTTCCTCTTTAGGACTCACCACTCTCTCCTGTGGCCCAGGCCTATTTCTCTCCTCTGTTCTTAGGAACTGCTTGATAAAAGTCATGAATCTCTGTCCCCAAGCCATTCTGGATGAGAGCTCATTAGTGTGTGGGGCAGGTACCATTTAAGGAGGAAGGCGATAATCTGCCACAGTGATCTTGTCCCTGTTCCACGGGGACTCACAGAGGCCCCAGGTAGGGTGAGACCTGAGAATCCTACCTGAATTATATAACATGCTATCTTGTAGCTTCCATTTAAGAGGCTGGGGCCATTCCACACCTCTGCCATGGGCTTGAATGCTGAGCCACTTGAAGAATGTGGGGAGCCCAAGTGATGCTTTTCTTTCACCCCACCCCAGCCCCCATTTTTAAAGTGGACATCACCGTGAAGCCTTCTCTGCTTCAGGTAATCTCAGGAGGATTACCTGAGCTACCCCATCCACCCTCCTCTGCTCTAGGTCCCAAGGGTCCCGTGGTCAGCACCACCATCAGAGTACCTGGCGGCCAGCCCAGCCACGGTGGAGCTGGTGAGCCCGTCACAGGTATCCTTCTCAGGAAGCCTATGTGTGTGCTGCTAGAGCAAACCTTGTCTTTACTTTGTTTCTTATGTCAGTATCTAAGGCTGGACATTGCCTGATGATTCTTAGTGGCCTCTAGGAAAAACCCATGGGACAGAGCTGTCTGTGTTCAGGTCTTGGAAAAATGCTAGGGCTGGGGGCAGGGGGCTTACATGGGGGGCAGGGGAGGTTCTTTAGTGTGAAGCTCTGCTTCTCACACTGAATGGAGGATGAGAAACCACACAGCAACAGGCATTCGTAATAGTTAATATTTATTGAGGGCTTACTCTATGCTAAGTGCTGGCCCAAGCATTCCACATGACTTAGCTCACTTAATATTCATGGTTCACTGGGGCAAGGACTACTATTAGACATATTACATGCAACCCGCAGGCCTGGGCTGTGTGGGAGAGAAGGCTGTGGAGCCGGTGTGTGAACAACATGAGAAGAGATGAGGAAGGGGGGCATAGTGGCCTAGAGACCCAGTGATACTCAAGAGAGCATGTGCCCACAGTCCTGACACCTCAGTCAGGCTTCCCCAGACTTGGGAATGTCTGTTGGGATTTTCCAGTCCCTAGTTGAACTTTCCCAAACATAACCTAGCAGTCAAGAGCCAGGTGTTAGGAATGTTTGTCTGGTGTGCTGGCCATTTGATCCACTCAGCCAGACTTTTCCCCATTTGAACGAGAGTAAAAGATACAAATCACTTGGCCCATTGCTGGTCTCCAACTGCACTAGTTTTCCAGGGAGAGGATGGTGCCCTCTTTCATTTTAACCCCCATCAGAAAGGAGCCACTGGGGCAGGGTGATCGGAGTCTGTGGAACTTGCTTTCTTTCTTGCTCCCCTCCCCTCTCCACACTCAGTCCAGTCAGGAAGCATTCCTGCTGGCCTCTCTCCACAGGTCTCAGCCGTGAGTGACACCAGTGAGCATGGCTCTCTTGGAGGGAATGTTGATTTGCAACTGGTAGTGGGGGGTGGGGAGGGGACCTTGATAGGGCAGAGGAAAGTCAGGAGAAAGCCAGCTAGAGAAACCGGAGAGGGCAGCCAATGAGCTTCCAGCATGGAGGCTGGGTCATTAGACAAGCTTTGTAAATAACATCCGGGCTGCATTAGAACCATGATGTTCCATTCCCCAAATAGAAGTTGACTCTCTGCTTAAGGCATTCCTTAGGTCCTGGGGGAGCAGCACCAGCAAAGTCCCTCCCCTTGTTACTCTGGAGTCAGGACCTGAGCATAGAGAGACCAGGCTCACAAATCTGGCAGAATGGTGTGGCTTGCTGTCACTGCTTCCCACACTTCAGCAGAGACAAGCCTTCTTCTTCTTCTTCTTCTTCTTCTTCTTCTTCTTCTTCTTCTTCTTCTTCTTCTTCTTCTTCTTCTTCTTCTTCCAATACAGGCAGATCTGGTTGCTGCAGGACACCAGACAGCTCAGTCACCCACTCATCACCTTCTGTCTTGGATTTCCAGGAGACCCTGACAGGGTATACAATGGGCACCTGGAAGTGGCTCCAAGGCAGAGCTGTTAAAGTGTGACTAGAACCTTGCCCAAGTGAAGTAGGGCTTTCTGTCCCAATTGTGGTGTTTTCCAGGCCACCCTTTCCACTCTGAGAATCCCTCTCCACTCCATAGAGCAGAGGGCCACCCGAGTCATCCATCTGCTGCCATCCCACACCATAGGCCCTTGTGCAGGAGTAATCTAAACGACTTGGGACTCCAGATAAGACCCTTGCTTCCATTAAACATTGACAGGACCAAGCCTGTCAACTGAGAGTGCTTAGGTGCAGGGGAACCTCTGGGAGACCATAGCAGCTGGGCTATTAAAAATGAATGGGCTCTGCTCCTCCCAGGGGCTGCCTCTCTTAATGTGGCAGCTCTCCAGGGCTGGGAGGAGGGGCCGGGAGGGTTCAGAAAGAGCAGCAGATTCCCAAGGAACTAGACCCCAAGGAACAGCAAGATCTTAGCTCCCTGAGCCACTTACACTCTGGGTGGAAAGTACACAGGCTTTCAGTCAGGAAGCAATTCTTGAATTTGAGCTCAGTCCTATAGCACGGCTTTAAGCACCCTGAGCCCTCACTTATTAATCTCTAAAATGGGCTTCTTACTGACTCAAAAGCTTCTTATAACCAGGTGTGGTAGCAGTACTTGAGCGTTGAGGCAGGAGGATTGAGAGGTCAAGGCCAGTCTGGGCCACATCATCTGACTGCCTTGAGAAATGGAGAACAGAAGTAGTTTCTGGTGTTTGGAGTCTGCAGCCTCAGCATTTAGGAAACTGAGGCAGAAGTACTTCGTAAGGTTCAACCCCATGATGTGTTAGGTGTGAGTTCCTGACCAGCCTAGGCTAGACTGACTGAGTCACAATAAACAAACACAAGCTCCAAAATCTGCCCCCACCCCACCTTCCAGAGATCTCTATCTCATCCTTGTTTGTCTGCTGTCCTCTCTACCACTCCCCCACCTTGCAAGCAGGTGTCTAGGGCACTACAGATTTTTCCAGTACCTGCCTATTGTTCAGTGTGTACTAGTTGCTTAGATAATGGATTAAAAAAAAAAAGCCTTTAAAAGGATGTCTACAAGACCAACAAAGTAAATGCAAATAAAAGATGGATGGAGTCAGGGTCACGTGGTACAGAGAAAATTATCAAGCTATCTGTGTTCATAGGGACCGTAACTCATGATCACCCAATAATCTACTTCACAGTGAAGGAGACTGAGGCCCAGCCAGGTGTGGCACAGTCAGGGAGTTCCCAAGGCCCCTGTCTTCTGGCTTCATGCTGGGGAGCTGGGGTGGGTGGGACTGACCCGGGTCTGTTCCCTATAGCAGGGTAGGACAGTATTATCCAGTAGGTGCCAGCTTCCCCAGGCAGTACAGAGTGTACTTGGATCCAGCTTCTTTTATGAATTCCAGGCTTCTGAACACCTGACATTTTTTATAACAGGCTGGGCGTATACTGGACTCTACCAGCTTTGGTTCTAGCAAAGTTGCCGTGCACTTCCTTGATCCCAGGAGGGCAAGGGTAAGGTGTCTTTGGAGAGGAAAAAGAATGAGCCAATTCTGACACGGCCAGCCCTTTCCCTAAACCATTTCTGCCCTAAATTACCCACTGATAGACCCTGCTACTAAGTCACCCTTTTATGAAGGATCTTGAACTCCACCCCCAAACTCCTTGTGGCTTCCTCGGTGGAATGGCCCAGGGACAAAGCTGATGGGAGAGAGTCAGGAGCTGGGAGATGCAAGGTCCAGTTTGCCTCTCTAATCACACACCCTATCTATGAAGTCACTGTGAAGACTGAGTGGCATAGTGAATGCAAAAGCTATGGAAGACAATCAACATGGGTCTAATGGGGGCGGGGCCAAATGTATCAATAAGGGACACCATGGTCAACCAGATTTCTTACATTTAAAGGCTTCTCAGCAAAGATAAGTAGTTTTTAGATTTTCTATCTTCCAGTCCCCTCATAAGGTTCTTATTCCTCATTGCTGTTGGTCAAGTGTCCATGTGCCTTCACCATATGCAGGAAGAAAAGAGCATTTTCCTCTTGCTGAACCAAGTTCGGCAACTTCTGGGCCCTAAGAGGCACAGGGGTGTGGGCACTGATAAGCGTTGTGCCAGCTGCGTTTACAGCAGAAGGTGCTAGGCACGCTTGCTCCCAGCACACCTTAAGTGGAGAGCCTGGGCTTGGTACACTGACTGGTGGGAATGGATGCAGGCACCTCTATGGCTGGCTCCCTTCATCCCCCTCCCAGTCCTCTGAAAAGCCCCATGGGGCTTGGTGCGCCTGAGCCTTCTGGACTCCTGTGGGCAGCTGCCTTCCATGGCTCATCACTGGCTCCTGGTGAATCCAAAATTACCCTGACTGACTCACAACAGGCAAAACACATACCCCCTATGGCTGGAGAGCAATTTGTCTTTGTGGTTCTATGTAGTAGAGACAAGATTTTTTTTTCTTTTTCTTTTTTGCTCCAAGAAGCCACTTGGCTGTGTGCCCTCTTCCAAACACACCCACGCAGTGCAGCAGGTTCTCCTGAACTGTATGAGAACAAAGAGGTGCTGGCTGGCCTCCCACAGTCCTGGAGGGACAGACTTATACACCCTTACCATGCTGGGCAGGAGGCCCAGAGCAGAAGAGAAGTGCGCAGACTTGGGGGCGGGGCTGGGACATTTGAGGATACTTTTCTTGTCCCCCGCCCCCCCCCCAGCAACAGGTGCAAATTGAATAAAGTTAGGCCCAAGGAGTCGTGGGGTGGGCTCAGCTGCTAAGGAGGCTGGCCTTTACTGGGTATTTGGAGGGGCAAGGACACTTGCAGGGATGGCAGCTGGTGGAGATCCAGGCTTAGGAGAGGTGACAGACAGAGGGGCATGTGTGCCCATAGTGACATTGCTTAGAATGTATGCCTCCTAACCACCTCACCCATGGCCTCTCCACAGCCACACAGAAAGCAGATTTCACCATCGTTTCCTGGATGGGAATCTGGAGCTCCCAGCATTTCTGAGGGGTAAGGAATTCAAGGCTTCCGGTGCACCCTCTTCGTGTCTTTTCCCAGTTGGCTATTTGCCTGAGGAAGTCACCTACAACTATGAGGAGGTCAGCCCTCCTCATGGACACCTGCTTTTCCTCAAAGGCTGTGTCTTCCCATTTGGGGGAAAGTCCCCTAGGAGTCAAGTTATGGTGGTAAGAAAAATGAATGCCAAGGGCTTGGCCAGTGACAGCTACAGGTGAGAAGACATGGGACACAGGAGGAGCTGAGGCCACTAAGGGGTGAGTGGGGGTAGATCAGCCCACTAATGATGACTAAAACTTGGAGAAGGGGGTCCAACCCTAGAGAAAGGTGTGGGTTCCAGGCTTGCCCCTGTGTGCCAGGAGAGCAGGGTCTAGGCCTAGGGTGACCCAATTGCTAAAGTCCTTAGCTACCAGAGGTAAGAGGGAGGTGAGGAGTTGTGTGTAAGCCAATCAATGAGCATAGCTCTTGTTCCTATGAGCCCCCCTGAATTGTGGGAGGTGGGAGTGAGAGGGCAGGATTTGGCGAGTGCCCTAGCTGAGAGGAAGTAGACTTCTTGCCCAAGAACTTCCCTTCTACATAGAATATTCACTTTTCTCTCAGGAAGAAACAGGTGGGGCTCTCTACACTGGTTTCTCAGGGGCTGTGAACCCAGGCAGGAAGCACCCCCCCTCACACACCTTCGGTTCTCCCTAATGAATAACAGAGCTTGCTTCCCCAAATTTTTTTTTGGGTCACTTCCTTCTGCTTTTGTCAGCCAGATTTGCTGATAGCAAAAGGAAACCTACTTTGATAGGTGCCCTGCCCTGGGCTTGACAAGCTGACCTGTCCTAAAGCATCCTGTGAGGGGAAAGGGAAAGCTAACATCAAAGCTGTGAACAAAGTGTATAAAGCTGAGAAGGCCCCAGGAGGGGCACAAGCGGAGCCCCTGGGTGCTGTGGACAAAAAGGGAGATTTGAAACCAAGAGGTCAGGGATGGTTGCAAAGAATCTTCACCAGCTGTAATCTCTTCCCTCAGAGACTCCAACCCGACATGTCCTTCCCGTTCCAGGGAGAAGGGATCCCGAGGCTCAGAAGGGCTCCAAGTCACAGGGCAAGGCAGAGTTGGGGTGCAAATCTGTCTTCTCCTTTTATATGGCTGCTCTTCCCTGGAAGCCAGGGATGGGATTTGCCTGGGGTAATGGGGGATTCCCGGGGTCCTGGAAGACAGCTAAGAAGAAAGGACTCCCAAAGGCAAACCTGGGACACCTGATGATTCTACCTGATTCCATGCACTGTTCCCAGAGAGCCTCCATTACAGCCATTGCCTCTGATAGCTGTAACAGTTGCCATAAAGTGTCCACTCCGTGCCAAGAGCTAGTATCACAGAGAGAATGAACATACGTGCAAAATGCTTGATAAGCATGTATGTCCCCTTCAGTCCTCAAAGGAGCAAACAAAACTAAATACTTCCACTGCTGTTTCTCAAATGAGGAAGTTGAGGTTCAGAGGAGCTGGCCAGCTGAGCGGCAGAACCCAAACGTACACATAGCCACATGCAGGAACACTAACACGGCCCTGTTGGTTTCTATTCTCTAACAGGTTTGGTATCGTCTAGTCCCAACACAATGGCTCTGCACAAGGGCACCGTTCCCCTGCCTTTTAAATCTCTGGCTTAATGGTGCTTTGACCAGCCATGCTACAGACTGTTCATAGCCAAGACAAAGCGGCCACATCCTTGCTCTCTTGTCCCGTCAAAAGAAGCCACTTTCTTTCTGTAAGCAAGACTCCCTTCTGTCACTGTGCCCAGAGGGTGGGGTGGGGTGGGGTGAGGTTTCCGTTCAGCTGATGCTCCACCAAGCAGAACCTGAGTTCAAGGAAGTGGACAGAGGAAGTGGGTCTTAGAGGAGGGAGGCTGTGTGGGGGTAAGCAGCGCTATAGGTGTGAAGGACTTGGAAGGCCCTGGGACTTTCCCTGCCCCATGGCCCTGCCCTAGACAAGGACGACCAAGTTCCCCAACCCATGGCAGACTGAGCATTCTGGCGGGGCCTCATTCTTCCCACCTGCTCCTGTGTCTCTGACATCCTATCAGCAATGTATCCTTTCTCTCCGCCTCTTGGAAACTTTTTCCTGCTCACACACCCCTTGCCTTTCCACCCACTACACGCTTGACGTGTGCGGGTGCGTGGCAAAACCAGACCGAACTTGAGACCAATGGTGCCACAGATTTCTCTGGTACTGGGACTAGGCAGCAAGCTATATAAGCCCCGGCACCTCAGCTGCCCTCCCAGGAGTTTCTCTCTGTTTCTTCCATCTTTCTGGCAGGCAGCCAGCCACCAGGTGCCCTGTCTCGTGCTTCTCCATCCTCCCCCAGGCCAGGCCTTTCCTCCTGAGTGGCTGGAGTGGGTGGGGAGGAAAGCCTGTCCCTTTACCCAAAGGGGGTGGGGGTGTGCACCATGCTCGTTGTTTTGTTTGAAGACTGGGTTACCACTGGCCCATGGTTGTTTTAAACACCCCAACACTCCAGGCAATCTCTCTCAGCTCTCCAGTAAAACTACACTCTCCAGACCGGGCTGCCGGGAACTGGAGTTAACACAGCCGACCCAAAGACGCCTTCCCACCGGCCCCAGATAGGTGCCAAGCTGTCCCAGGAGGGTGTTCTGCTAGGGAAGGTGACCTGCTGGGGAGGGTGCCGGGCTGGGGCGGGGGGAGGGGGACCTCCCTCCCTGCTCCAGCCGCGTCACCGAGGTCCCCGCGCCTCCCCCGCGCCGCTGACGTGGCCACCGCGCGCGCGTCACGCAGGCCGCCTGGAAGCGCTGTCCTTATTTGGGCGTAGACCTGGTGCACTGGCTGGGACTCTTACGTTGCTGTGGCTGCTTTGTGCAACCCCGCCCTCCTGTCCCATCCAGGCCTGGACGGGCGCGCAGCCAGTCACATCCTGCGGAGGGACACTGGTTCTGGGTCACCTCACGAGAGCCAAGAGAGGAGGGCAAAGAGCCTTCCCAGGCGTTATCTACCGTCTCCAGGGTTTCTCCTGAAATGTCAGAGCTAGGTGGAAACACAGATGGACAGTCACAGACGCCTTAGTCCCTGGGGCGGGAAAGCTGGGACGCCAAAGCCATTGTGAGCTAGTGCAAAGGGCAGGCTTGCTGTTGCCCGCAGTCTTAAACTCACCCTAATGCCAGCAGCCCCGTTTCCTCTAAAAACAGAGCAGAGATCAGTGTCTGTGCTCGTGAGGATATGGATGCCCCACCCTCAGGTGTAAAAACAGTTTTCCTAAGCTGTGCTGAGCTGTCTAGTCTCCCAGTGGTCACTGGGCACTGGGGAGGAACCTGGCCTGGTGCCCCTCCTGAGAAAGAAGCCACAGACACCTATCAGCAGCCTCTGTGTCTGGGGCCTCATCCAGCTGCTCTGAGAATGCCCTTTGACCTCATTGAAAGCTTATGCTTTGTCAACAATGTCATCTGGTGTTTGCCTCTTTTCTTCTCAGGGCTGTTTGTCTGTGGCCTGCTAGGCAGCAAGTGGTGAGCAAGCCTGTGACTACTCTTCAGTTTAGGCAGGAAGAGGACGGGAACTGCCAAAGTCTACAGGCAGTCACGGTGAGCAACAGGCACCGTGCACCACACACCTTTGTTTCATTGCTAGCAAGACCCCTCCCTCCTTCCAAAGGCAACCCAAGCTCATAACCTAAGCCCCAACAAGCCTTTTCCTGTAGGACACCAGCTGCTGCCGGAGCCCTCATTCCAACACCCTTGCTAGCTGTGAACTGTACCGTGCTCTAGGCTTCACTGTCTAGAGCATTTTCTGCCTGCTGGTAGCCAAGAGTCTGTGTTGTCTGTGCAGATTTCCCTCCTTGGGAATTTGGAATGTCCAGAGGGCAGGAGACATTTCCAAAATTAGAGCTCTCAGACTCTGCATGTGTTTTGAGGGGGACTGTAGCCCCTTCCTCTCATCTCTCTAGAACAAGGACAAAGGTACTGAGATCACATGGACGAATGATTGATTTATGACCCAAGTGCAAAGGCAGTGAGTCACAGCATCAGAGAGACCAGGCAAACCTCACTCTCCTCCCCACACAGTCCCCTGACACAGAGGACCTGTTGGGTGGCCAACACAAAGATGGTACAGCGGACAGACAGGCACCTCCCTTCGGAGGTGGCTGTCCTCATTTTTAAAAAGGCCCTTGAGGATGATACCTAATCACATGGGCTCAGAGGGTGAACTATGGGTCAGGTCAGCTGTTCCCTAAGTACTGGGTGAGGTTGGCTTAGCATCTCTCTGAACTGAGTAGGAGAGTCCAGTACTCCTCAGGATAGTTCAAGTTCCCCCTGAGAGTGGGGCAGAGGGCAGGGCCTATTGCCTCTGGGCTGTGCTCCTGTGTGCCTCAAGTCAGCTCAGTGTAGGAGTTCTGGCTGGCTTCACCCTGTGGTGAGGTGTCCAGCTCAGCCCTGTTCCTTGTTTCTACACATAAACACATAGGCACTTGCCCCCTTCAGAGACAGGGTCTCAGCAGCCTCCCCTCAAACTCTTCATCTTCCTGCCTCTCCTGCTCCCTGTGATCCCGGGAGTGCGCCACTGAACCTGGACACTCGGCTATCTCTTGGCATACATCACATCACAACTTAGCTACTTTGCAGAAGGCGTGGATCCACAGAGGGGTTGATTCAGCAAGGGTGCAAACAGCTAGGAAATGGAGTGCTGCCGGTTGCTTACATTCTCAAAACGTCCTTTTCCCTCCTTGATACACAGGCTGAGTAAAGTACAGATTCCTCTTGTTTTCATCTGCCCAGTAGCACACAACTCCAAGCCTCTCTGAGAATTCATTGAGATGGGGCAATGTTACGGAGGGGGGGGCAGTTCATAGGCAAAGAGCTCTTCTACGCAGGGCTGCCAGGCTGGGGTGTGACTAGGGATGGGTGGGATCTTCTTTAGCCTACAGCTGCTTGCTATCTTAGGGTTTCTATTCCTATAATGAAAAAAAAATAACCAAAACAATTTTGGGAGGAAAGGGTTTATTTGGCTTACACTTCCACATCAGAGTACATCATTGAAAGAAGTCAGGACAGGAACTCAAGCAGGACAGGAACCTGGAAGCAGGAGCTGATGCAGAGGCCATGGAGGAGTGCTGCTTACTGACTTGCTCATCATGGATTGTTCAGCTGGTTTTTGTTTGTTTGTTTGTTTGTTTGCTTGTTTGTTTTTGGTTTTGGTTTTTCAAGAGAGATCCACCTGCCTCTGCCTCCCTAGTGCTGGAATTAAAAGTGTGCACTTCTATCACTCGGCTCTGCTTGCTTTCTTATAGAACTGAGAACCACCAGTCAAAGGATGGTACCACCCACGATGGACTGGGCCCTCCCACAGCAATCACTAATTAAGAAAATGCCCTACAGCCAGATCTTATGGAGATATTATTATCTCAATTGAGGTTCCCTCCTTTCAAATGACTAGCTTGTGTTAAGTTGACATAGAACTTGGGAGAGCACTTGCTGACAGTTGACTTCACTTTGGAGTCAGAAGCTGGGCAGGAAGTGACTTTCTTTCTAGGAGCTTCCCTGCTCCCACTGTGATCGTCACACCACTTCTGATTTGGAGGTTCAGTGACTACACTCTACATGTCAATCAAATGCCCCCTTTTGTCCATTCAACTTGGCTGAGGGTTTCCCCTTCCTCTGCCCAGTTCTCTTGCTAGAAGAAAGCAGAGAACACTTGAGGCATCAGGTTCAACAGGGCCCATCCCTTACTCTAAGGAGTTCCTGAGCCAAGAGGAGGGAAGGAAACTCTGGGCTAGAAAACTCATTAGAGCTGATGTTTGTTTATTATCCCAGCCATTACCCTGATTCCAACTCCTCCTGACATCATTATGGATCCTCATTAGTGGTCCGTTTAAGGATGACATTAAAAGCCAATGAGGGTAACTTTAGATTCCTTCGGGGTGGAGGGTTGCACACAGATTCCTTCTTTTTCTTATTTTTAAAAATATTTATTTTTAACTTAATGTGTGCATATAATGGGGGGTACATGCAAGTCACGGCACATGTGTGATGGTATGAGGAAAGCCTGCAGGAGTGAGTTATCACCTTCTACCATGTGGGTCCCTGGTAGAGAACTCAGTTTACCATGCTTGATGGCATGCACTTTTACCCCACTGAACCATATCACTGACCTGAGTATGCTAAAGGTTTTGTTTTTAGTTTTAGGGTGTGTGTGTGTGTGTGTATGCTCAATGAGGCATCCCCTGTAAATGGAGTTATAGACTGTAAGTTGACCAACATGGGTACTGGGAATTGAACTCTAGTCCTCTGGAAAAAATAGCATTTTTAATTGCTGAGATAATGCTTCAACTTGGCCTGTGTATTTTAACAAACTAATTTTTAATGTTTTCTTGTGTTTCACAATAAAACTATATAATGTGTGTATTTCTCCCTTGCCTTGGTTTCCTGAATGCTGAGAGATAGATTTAGGGTTTAACACAAACAAATTAGCAAACATCTACCTCCTCTCTCCCTTCATCATTACTAATTTCTAATATTTAATATAAATGCAGACATATGTTGTTCCTTGTTTCCATGTGAGTCAGTACTTTAAACTGCTCCAGAGTCTTAGAGTCAGCAAAGGATAAATCATAGCTGGGAGTGTTGGCTCCAACCATTACCTCAGCACCTGAGAACAGAAGTTTCTAGAAAGAGATGTACCGACTGTACTGCCGGTGGAAGCTGTCAGTAAGCAGCCGTGTGCTTAGGAAGATCAACATCCCATCCCATGCCCATACCCCAGCCTGTCAGCCAGGTTTGGGAGGAGAGTTTCTTTGTTTTGAGTTCAAATCAGACTAGGATACGAGGTGAGACCCTTTCTCCATAAACAGAGGGCTGAAGATATGTGTGTGATAGAGTGCTTGCCTCATCTGCAGAAGCTCTGTGTTTGATCCCCAGTACCACACAAACTGGTCATGGTGACAAAGGCCTGCAATTGCTGCAATCAAGAGGTAAGGCAGGAGGACAGAAGTTCGAATTCATCCTCAGTTATGTGGGAAGTTCGAAGCCAGCTTAGACTGCATGAGCCTAGTCTGAACGAATGAATGAATGAATGAATGAATGAATGAGTGAACGAATAAATATCATAATGGTTAGCATGTCCTGACCCTTTCTCAACAAACAAATAACAAAAAGTGCTAATAGTGGTACAGGCAACACATGCAGGCAAAACACCACTTACAGATTAAATAAGTAAATAAAATCATTTGAAATATTTTAAAAGTGATAATAGTGCCAGGCAGTGATGGCTCACGCCTTCAATCCCAGCACTCAGAGGCAGAGGATCTCTGAGTTGGAGGCCAGCCTTGTCTACAAAGTGAGCTCCAGGACAACTAGGACTGTTTCACAGAGAAACCCCGTCTCAAGGAAGAAAAAAAAAAGTGCTAATAGAATATATTGATTATTATGGGGTAGGCATATTCCAGGGACTGTAACTCATTTCATCCTCTAACAATGCTGAAGTAAGAGCAGCTGTTATTGGCCCCATTTAACAGATAAGCACACTAAGAGTGGTGATAACTTGCTTGAGAGCACAGGACTAGGAGTTGGACCCAGCAGTGTGGCTCCAAGGCATGCACAAGTCTCCATGATGGACTAAATGAATCCCAAGTCCACTCACAAACCACATTATTCCACCAGGGTCAATGACCATTAAAACAAGATGGACAGAGCAAACGGTCCCAACTGCCTATTCCTAATGTAGAGACACACCAATAACCTGATTCTTAGTGGGGGAGATGGGAAGGTGACACAATGAATCCTCTCTACCTTTCGCTGCCTCCGGATGAAGCCTGGGAATGAGAGTACAGTGCTATCGAAGTGCAAAGGATATGTCTAAAAACATCCTCGGGCCAGCCTATAAAGGCCCTAAAGGCAAAGCTAAGAATAAACTTTTACTCATAAAGGAGCCCATGAAGGGATTCAAGCAACAATCAGGCTAGACTGGTGGTCTCAGAGCTCAGCCTGAGGGAAGTGCAGCCAGGGGGTTCTCCCCACAGGAAGCCCTCTTTGGATGCCTGCAGAGACCAAACCTTAAACTGGATATGAGATGAGCTCAGGAAGTGGCCTGCAGAATATCTGCCCTGATGGGGAGATTTCTGTCTCTATAGCAGGGGATCTCATATTCTGCTGGGGCCCTGGCATGGTCAGTGTGGACCACAGATGGCAGATTAACACTGAGCCAGGGCAGATCTCCTGGCCCAATACTCTCTCTTTACAGATAAGCAGACTGAGGTTCGGGGAGGAGACTCCCAGTCCAGCTATCTCTCCCTGTCTCTGGGCTCCTTCCTCTGACCCAGATGGATCAGGTGCTTGGCCTTCCCTGGCCTGGAGCCTGTGGTGCAGTAAAGAAACACCTTGGCCCAGAGCCAGAAGGCTGAAGGGGAGAAGCTGGCATAGCATCCCTTCTTCAGTTCCTCCTGGTGTAGCCCTTTCAGGATCTGTATCCTCCACCCTTTGCCCCTACTGCCCCAGCTGCTTGCCCCAGACACTCAGGCCCCAGGAGGCCTAGCCAAGCAACATCTGGGGTTGCTTCACCAGCCTTAGGGCCTCTCCTCTTGTTTTCTGTCTGGAGTTAAAGTGGATCTGTCCTGGGCCCCCAGGAAGGAGGAGGGGGGCTTTACAAGGGGTCTGTCCTCTAAGTTTGCAAAGGGGCAATAAATTCAGCTTCAGATCTGCTGTTGTCCCCAAGTCCATGTGTTCCCTATTGAGTTTCCAGCACTTGTAGTCACACCTTCTTAAGTTGCAGAAGGCCCATGAAGTGGAGGTGTGGGAGGTCACATTCTTGAGGTTCCTAGGATAACAGGCTTTTAGCAGACAGTTTTCCCCCCTTTTGTTCCCAGATACACCTAGGGAGCCACAGGAGGAAAAACATACCACTAGGACTTTTCCAGCCAATACTGGTCTGGCCATCTGTCCATGTCTCTCCCCAGTTCCTGCTCATGTTGTGTTCACTCCCACCCCCACCCAAGCCTGCCTTCCTTTCCTCTGTCTACCACAGGATCAGAGTGTCCCTTCTCCCTAGACACTAGTGAGTCAGTAGGATATAACAGTTGAGGAGTAGTCCCCCAGGGCAACAGATGCCTGGGGGGAGGGGGTGGCTGGTACAGCTAGTCTGTGGGGCCTAGCACTTAGTGGCAAGAGGGATGAATTCATAGCACTTGCTAGTCACTCTTCCAGTGGTGGAGATGGGGTCCTAAGAGCCCCTACCACACAGTGTTGGGGATGAGAGCAAGTTGGAAGAGCACAAACGGGCTGTTGGAGGAGCTGTAATACATGGAGGGCACCCGGCAGTCATTAGGACTGTGGCTGGCCCCCTACAGTAAAAATGGCTGTTCTTGGAGAGTTTTGTTTTTATTTTTGTTTTGAAGCAGGCTTTCATGTGTCCTAGGCTGGCCTTGAACTTGCTTTGTAAGCTGAAGATGATCCTAATTGTCTGATGCTCCTGTGTCTCTACCTTCTGAATGCTGGGATTATAGACATACATTGCCATACCTGGTTATTACCATACCTCCACAGTGCTGGGGATGAACCTAGGGCTTTTTGCACGCTAGACAAGCATTCTACAACTATGCTTCGCCCCAGAACTAGACAGTTTATTTCTTGCCCTGTCTAACACTCTGGGTCTCACCTCTCAATCCTGGTTTTTCTCCCTGGACTAGGCTCTGTGTCTACCTCCAGGGTCTGGTTGGGACTCAACTTGTCTTTCCTTTGGGTTTGCTGATCACTGTCTAAAGGGCAGATACTCTTGTCCTGCTATGCACACATGCTCTCCTCCATTCTGATTCCCACCCCTCCCCCACCCCTCCATTTTCTTGAACTAGAAACTTTTCCTAAACCCTCAGTCCCTCCAAGTATGCTCTCTTGGGTCCCTCCTGGGTCTCTGGGCTTCACTTTGGCTTGCTGTCTAACAATGTTGTCTTCAGAACAAATGAGGGAATGGGTTACTTTCTAGTTACAGACTCTTCTCTAGGTTGCCAAAAATGGTTCTCTGAGGTTTAAAATATGTTATAGCCCCCAAGGGAAAACGCCTTTTCCTTGTTTGCACTTTTCCTTGCCTTCCTTTAGTCCTTCAGTGTTCTGCCTACTCTCACCCTAATCCTTCATGAACGGTCTGTCTGTCCTACTCTCAGTTCACTTTGGTGGTGGGGGAGAGGTGGAAAGAGGTGGAAATTTCAAACAGGGCTCACATCCTCAGTTCTGTGCTCTCATGAGTAGACTTTGGTGACAATATTTTCTTCTGTTTCTAATTCCTGTTTCTGAATGTCAAGAATAACTCCCAGCCTGGTAACCTTGGGTACAGCTTTGTGAGAAGTGGACAGGAAGTCCTAGAAAAGCCCCCCTGGCAGCCAAGTGAAAAGATTCAGCAGTATTTCTGTTCTGCTTAGGGAGGGGTGAAGAGAGGCTGGCCCACCCTGGTGATGGGTTTTATCAGCTCTGGGCAGCACAGCAAAGTGCTAGAGGAAAGATCAAATTAGCATCCGCAGCAGCTACACACAGGCAAACAGCACCCCCACCCCAAGGCCTGTCCATCTCAGGATGCAGGCTTCAGCAGGCACCAGGACACAGCCACTCTGTACTGCCTCACTCCCTCCAACTCGAGCTCACGCATACACTTCAGTGCGTACACTCACTCAAAATATACACCACCCTCCTACCCACACTGATACACATGGAGACTCACAGAATCACACACAGTACCGTGTGGGAGGGAGCTGAAGTCATTCTCCCAGAATAGCTCAGCCTGGCCTCTGACAGCAGAGCCACCAAGCTTGCCTCAGGTTTCCACATGTGGTCAGAACTGAGAGGTAACCTTGACAACCAAGCCAAGACCCCAAGGTCCCCACAGAAGTACACACCACTATCTAGTGGTTCCTAACTGGCAAGTAGAGAGAACAAGGCCTGTGTGATATCCCCACAGACAAAGTCAGGACAGAAGGACCTAGTTCTTGGGTTGGTCTAAGGAGGGCAGTTTGGAATACCACGTCATTCTCCAAGGGGTAGGCCAGACAAATGGATAGAATGGCCAGAGGGAAGGTAGGTATGGGGTCACATGGCACTGAAGTTTCTGGTGCAGATAAAGTGTAGACTGAAGCCATCCTCACCCTTGCTATCACCAAGAAACCAGTGACTGTGTCTGTGGAGTCACAGTCAACACGGTGTGTCAGCACTTATGTTCACCATCCAACTGATGGATGGAGGTAGAAGAAGAAACAAGAGAATGAGGAGTAAGAAAAGGAACAAGCTGGAAGGAGGAAGAGAGGGTGATGGAGAGAGGGAGCCACTGTCCTTACCCTGATGTCCCAAACACTCCAAGGACAAGAGGCATGGATACTTGGAAGCACCTAAAAGCTCTACCTAGGTGGCCTTTCCCCTTTGTTTTGTTTTAATTGATGTTGTTTGAAACCAGATCTCACTATGTAGCCCTTAGGTGGCTTAGAACCTTCTATGTGTAACAGGCTAGTCTTGAACTCACAGAGATCTGCCTGCCTCTGTTTCCCCAGTGCTGGGGTTGAAGGTGTGTGCCACCACAGCTGGTGATATCATCAACTTAAGGGCAGTTTAAATAAATGTAAAACAAAATCAGGACTAATGTAACGTGTTTGGTGCTCTCAGAAATCAATCTTAAGGCTGGATATGATAGCAAACACCTTTAATTCTAGCATTTTAAGAGGCAGAGGCCAGCCTGGTCTGCATAAGAAGTTCTAGGCCAGCCAGAGCTACACTGTGAAACCCTGTTTCAAAACAAACAATTCTGGAACCCAAATCCTTATTTGGGGTTACTGCTGCAGCAAAGTGGCCTAGGAATGTTGAGATAAATTAAGCCCCTTTATAGACTTTGGGAGTAGAAAGAGAAGATGCAGAAGGAAGGGGTCTGCCTGTTGGTTCTTATGGAGTACTGCACACTACAGCCAGGATACAATCCAAAACACTGCGGTGTCTCCGCAGAAAAACACCTTGGTAGCACTACGCAGCAGCATCACCCATAAATCAGGATTTAGTTTCTAGAATTGTTTATTTTGAAACACGTTCTCACTGTGTAGCTCTAGCTGGCCTGGAACTCTGTAGGTAGACCAGGCTGGCCTCTGCCCCTCTGAGTACTGTGATTAAAGGTGTTTGCTACAACAGCCACGCTTAGAATTGATTTCAGGGTTGGGGTTGCCTTACCTTCCTGCTCCTATCCTCACATCTGGGCTCTTTATCTGTAATCATGGCATCACTGTCAAGAGTGATTGCTCTGTGGGCCCTGTGGCCAGAGCAGCAACAGCCCAGGAACTGGAGGAATCTAGTGAAAAGAGAACCACATTTGTAACCTGCAAGCTCTGTCCTGTTTGGGCACTACTAAGAGGTCACTGCATAGCCTGCTAGGAGATGTGAACATTTACAGAAGGGCAAGTTTAATTTCCTAAAGACAAACAAAGCCGATGCATGGATTTGTGGAAAGCTCTTTTCATCAATGTGCTTGTAGAATGACAGAATAGCAGACCCAAGCCAAAGACAGCGAGAGGCAATGACAAGGGTGTCAGACTCAGGCACTGAGCAAGTTATCACAGGCCTGTGTGCTTTCACCTATTCTGCTGACTTCCTTGTGGCTAGCCTTGGTCAGCTCTGGCCTTGGTGACACTTGACCTCTTTGGTTCAATGCATCTAGGTTATCTTTTTCCAAGATCAGCCCGGTTTCCTGTTAAAATACTAACAATTCCCCTCAATAAGCAGAAGTAATCACCTCATCCATCCAAACCCAGACCCCGAGGAGGAGCAGTGAAGAAGCTCTCCAAGGATTATGTTTAATGGCAAAGCACTAGAATCCAGGCATTTTGATTCATCCCATGAAACAGAAGAGGAGAGCATATGAACTGGGAGTGCTCCTGTAATCGGGAGGCATACAAACGTAGTAGCCTGCTTCCAAGTAACTAGTACACTGATGTTGGGCCAGGGGAGGAGGAATCTTGCTCGTGAGGCTGAGGCAGGAGGATTCCCAGTTTGAGACAAGCTAAGTGACTATACGGATAGCATCAATTTAGCTTTGGGAGAATGGTCACTACCTCAATGAAGTGTCAGAAATCCAGGGGAGTACGAACTGGTGGCCAAGTAGCAGTGAGGTGTTCTGAGTTAAAGACGCAAGCCACGGTGCACCTGGGCCAGGGATGTGTGAGGTGAGGACCATGTAATAGAGCTACGGATAATGGGGAAATGTTGCAGGACCTAGGAGGCAGAGCTGTTGTGCTATTTAGAAGACAGTGAAAGGGGACCCTATAGCACCAAGTGGTAGAAACTTACAAAGGTAGGTCGTACAAAATGCTGAAATGTCTTAGGCGCCAGGGAAAGGAGTCCAGACAGTCTAGCAAGTGGAGTAGTTGTCTCATATTCTGAGTCCTTAGGAAAAGGACTCTATTCCCCCAGGGAAGGCCTTTTGGGGCAGGACTGGGTAAGAAGGCATCAGTCTTGGGACTAGGTCTGAGGTAGAGGTAGTGATCATAGCTTTGGCTGAAAGGAAGACCAGGGAGGGCGGCACTAGACATCCACAGGGAGGGACAGCATGAAAAAGATGGAAGTACTGACGTGGAAATTCACTGAAGAAAAATAAATAGCAGAAGGGAGAGCTCTGGATAGGAAGCAGAAATAAAAGGGAAGGGGAACACAGGGTGGGAAGGGCACAAAGGACCCAGAAAGGGAAGCTGGTGGGGACAGGTAGAGAAGCCTGGGGGCGCTGCTTCTCAGTAACAAAACACACACACACACACACACACACACACACACACACACAACCTCAGGATTTTACACAAGCCATGGAGCTAAGTTCATTTAACAAACAGGGTCTCATTGCAGGTCAGATCCTGTGCTGGGCTCAGAGGTGTGGGTGACAAGTTGCCCATTCAATAGTCTGCCTAGCTTCCTGGTACCAGTCCTTGAGCCCCCAAGTGTAGACGAAGCCAGAGCCAAAGCCTTTCTTCTGGGGAGATAGTATTTACAAAAGCCTTCATCCACAAAGAGGAAGGAAGACGAATCAGTGAAGAGGGAGGAGCAGAGGGCCAATGGAAAACTTTGTACTGCTCACACCAGACTACTTAAAAAAAAAAAAAAAAGCCACTTAAAGGGAAGTGAGAACTGGAAAAATAACCCAATGGACAGAAAAGTCTCTCCTCGACATTCCTCCCACTGCGACACCAGTGAGAGCTGATTGCTTTTAGGCAATTGCTGAAGAGGAAGAGCAGAATTTGTTGGGTAAGGTGGAATTATTATGGAAGCAAATAGACTACAATCCCCATTGCCGAAAACATGAGGAGCCGGTTCTGACCAGCTGGGAGAGAGTGGCAGAGATGACCTGGCGCCAGAGTGTCTGTTTTGGGGAGGCGTGGGAGAAGTAGCATCGGCGAGGACATCCTGGAGGAGGTGGCAGGCAACCGCTGCCTTGGAACTGTGCAGAGGCGACGTCCGGGCATGCCCGGTGTGGCGCGCTTCCTCTGCCCAGGTCCTGGTCCCTCTCCCGCCCGTCTTCCACCGC